TGCTAGCTTCTCCACTGATAGCCTATCACTATACACTCTGCTAGCCTCTCACTATACACTCTGATAGCTTCTCCACTGCTAGCCTGTCACAGTACACTCTGTTAGCTTCTCCACTGCTAGCCTCCTGCTATACACTCTGCTGGCTTCTCTACTGCTAGTTTCTCTACTGCTAGCCTGCCTCCTCTCACACATCAGAGGGCGCCCCGCCCAACCCGGGGGAGGTGCGAGAGGAAATACTGAACCAGGATTGGTCAGCTTGGTTACAAAGCAAAAGAGCGGGAAAGTGGAATGGGGGAGGAGACAGTGGGGAGTCGGTTGGGGGCAGGGAGAGATGGGATTGGTGGAGGAAGAGGGGGGGGCGGGAACGAGGGGTGCAGGGAGAGATGGGATTGGTGGAGGAAGAGGGGGGGTGGGAGGGAGGGGGGCAGGGAGAGATGAGATTGGTGGAAGAAGAGGGGGGGTGCAGGGAGAGATGGGATTGGTGGAGGAAGACGGGGGGGGGGGTGGGCAAGGATAAAAGCCGAGGGTCGAGAAGGGGGAGGGGGAGACGGCTGGGAGGAATAGTGGCTGGAGTTCTGTGAATCGGAGTGCTACAATTAAAGGTCCTCATATCCGACGTTGGGGATCTTGAGTCATTTTACACAAGGGATGACCACGGTCACAGCCCATTGCAGATAACACAGAGTCACATCGAGACGCATAGAGCTACACAGAGACTCATAGACTCAGACTTTATTTTTTTGCCGGTCATGCTCCTTTGAGCCATGCAGCTCTGTTGTAGTGGTGGCAGTGAAAGGGCCATTGCATGATGGAGGCAATTTGCAAACTACCAACAAGCAAAAACATCAACAAGTTACACAGACAGAACCCCACGCGAAAACTTTATGGAAAACAGCAAATGCACCAAATATGGAGGAGACCAAAGTGCCCTCCGGTTAGCGTGGTTGGCTACGTACGGTGCGAAATAAATTCAACGTACGTAACATACATACAGAGGGAAGCTAGCTGATAGCGGGGAGAGATCGCATGATGAGCAAGTCAGATTAAGAAGGAATAATTTTCCCTTTGTGTGTTTTTGCATTGGGGGTTTGATGTAACTACTCCACTCTGGGTTGACGCTGCGGCTGCGTGGGTTTAAGCGGACCTTAGCCGTCCGTGCGTGCAACGTCGTGAACGTTCGCGCGTCCCGGGCCTTAACGATGCCCCTGGGGAGCAAATGTATCGTGTCTCCCTTCTCCCTCCCCACTACCCCCCCCTGGGGGACCATAACCACATCGATCAGCGAGGCCTCCGCAGAGACCGCCAGCGTTGTCACCGATCATCATCGCCGCCGCCCGTTACCAAAGAGAAACTGGCGGCACACCAAACGGAGCACACATGTCTCCCTACGATCCTCCGCAACGGCATGAGTGGTGTAAAGTGCAAGCGGCGACACCGCTTGGCTCGAATCAGTGGCGCGTGGCGACGATGAATGATCAGCACCGCAGGAGCGCGCATTGCCACATCACAATAGCACTCATCACCAACACCACTACCACCACATCATAATCATCACTACCCGGGTAGGGATAAGCTACCCAGCGGTAGCACATTAACCACTTGTTGCACGGCCGACCAGGTTACACTTCCAGGAGTTTATTACGGTTGCGTGTTATTGGCTAGACATCGAACAAAGGTCGCTGCATCGCGCGCTTTCAGATGAGCTTTTGCGGTCGTCTGGAATGCCCTTCCTTCCGATATTTGGCAGCCACTGAAGCTGAGAACTTTTAAATCATCATCTAGATTGAAAACTCATTCCTTTAGAACTGCTTTTTGTGTTTTAGTTTGTTGTCCATCCCCACCCCTTCGATTAGCACAGTTGGCTACGTACGGTGCGAAAGACATTAACTACCTCGCCTGGTATACAGGAAGTCGTGGGTTCGATCCCGACCCTGATGCCTTTATATTTGGAGTTTGCAAGTTCTCCCCTTGGACGCGTGGATTTTTCTCCAGGTCTTCCGGTTTCCCCTCCACATTTAGAAACATGCGTTTAGAGTATTTGTCTGTTATACATTTCCACGTAATAAGCCACTTTGCTGAGCTATCATTTGTGGCCAGGTCGCTTCTGAAAAAGAAGCTAATGGCTGAATGAGCCTTATCTGGTGAAATCATAAATAGTTTTTTAGTTGAATACGCGCCATTTGCTTGACAGTGGATGTGAAAGATTCCGCAATGCTACTCGAGGGGAGTCGGCCATTGTGTGCCAACGTCACGGTCAAACTCCCAAAATTTAAACAAAAAATGACACTGCTCATCACTCAATTGGGATAATCACACAGACACACACAGCAATAACATCGCCCCCTACTGTGAAACTACCGCAGCCTGTGAAACACAACAGCGCCTTGCTGCACGATGATCGCCCTGCACTGTAGGAACGACAGCGTGAATATCAAATGTATTATACAATATTATAAAAAATATAGTAGCAAATGTATTATGATAAACTAGCTTTACTACCCGGCTTCGCCCGAGACTTGGATTCTTGTCTTGGATTAATACACGGCCTACGCGGAGGGTTGGGGGGGGGGATGCGTGACGTCAGCAGGCGCACTGCGTAACGCTGCCGCATGCGTGTGACATCACAGATGTGACGTCACCGCTCACTTGCCGTGCAAAATATATCCATTATTGGACCCCCCCCCCCCCCCCAAAATACAAAAGTCAATTTTTATACTTTTTGCATTGTGTAATGTCTGGAAGCTACCCACATTCCAAATTTCAAGTTTGTTGCATGTTGGGAAGTATGCTAAACATTTCGAACAGACACATTCACAAATTTCCCTTTTATATATATGTCGATATAATTTGTACGACTCAATAACATATAATTCCCCATCACTACATCACTCTCATCATTACAACACCACCACCGCCATCATAGTCATCATCATCATTAGAGATGCCTGCAGACCATTTCATGTCCTATGAACAAGGCCCATTGCCTGATATGGCACCTCATATATTTATCCCTTTTAAGGCCACACGCCCACAGAGCATACCTCGATGAAGGCGTTAAGTGTTTTGTGTGTGTGGTGGCTATGCACCACTGCCAACGCAGCAGTATCGCCAAATAAAGAATGCAGTTCGTGAACACAAAGCAGACCTAAAACACGGTAGGACCAACACCTCGGCCGAGGCAGATCACTCTTATAATTCAGTAGGCTCACATGGCATTGACTTCTCCAAGACAGAGGTTCTTAGCAAGCCATCTGGCTACCATGAGAGATTCGTTCATGAGGCTATCCACATATACAAACACAGAGAAAATTTCAACCGAGAAGATGGATTCTGGCTTAGCAATCATTGGAAGGATTTGATAAACCATTTCGGGTCTTAATTGATTGTTCACGCTTAGTGGCTTTCAGACCGCATCCATTTTTTTCGTCTCCCCCCTCCTCTTTTCCGAACATAGATGGACTCGTCCATCTGAACAAACTGTCAAATCGCTCTCCGTGGTGCTAACGTAAAAAAACGCCACTTTTTTCTAATTTTCTTGCTGTGGTTTTCATACCTGATGATGATTGCTTGTGTTGCAGTCGAAACGTCGTGATAATTTTATTGTTTTATATTTTTATTATTTAATTGTTTCCCTTCTACGTGACTTTACCGAAAGAACCAAGAATATGAATCCCTGCAGTCACGAAAGCTTTAAATAAAAATCTATCTCATCTTGTCCGCATCTCTCCTCGCATTATCTCATCACCATCGCCTTTAGTTTCCACCCAGTAATTATTGGCACAGGTGGCACTCTTGGCAGAGTTGGTGCGCAGACAATGCCTCTTTCATCTATTTTTCTCTACACGTAAAAAAAAATCTATATAAGCCGTATGTTTTCACATCCCATCAGCCACCCACACGGAATTCTGGGATTGCATCCTATCAGCAACAGTGGTTCAATGCAAGCAAAACTCTGGGGTGGTTTTGACGTTCAGTGTCTCATCAGCAGCCAGACTCGCTTGAACCAACATGGGTGAACTGCCTGAGGTTTGTGGGCAAGGGCTGGTTTCAGCATTCAGTGCCTCATCAGCAAAGTCAGGCTCGCCTGAACCAACGCGAGCGAATTGCCGACTGTTTATCGGCAAGGGGCCCTCTTTGCAAGGACCGGGATCCTCGCTGGATGCTCGCACTAAACACAGCAACACGCGGCACAGAATAATGATGTGGGGGTGGGGGGTCGCCTGGAGAATGTTCATTACAAAATAACCAATGCCTCCTCCTCCTCCCCCCCATCAACATTCGTCTCTCCACATTGAAATATCGAGCCAGTCGGTCCGCAATGCTGCTTGAGGCTCCATGCAAGAGAAGAAATCTGGCTGTCACCTGATGAAGCTTTTTGTAATTACTGGCGAAACGTCGTACTCAGATTGTAAATGTTGTGGCTCGGCTCTCCAACACACTGGTGTGCTGTACCAGTGACGACTTGGCCACGTTCTGTTTTACGTGACAACCCTTACTAGTTGGCTGTGTCGGGTGGTGGCGGGTTTAACGACACAGTTATATGCTTACGTGATCTAAACCAAAAATAAAACCTGTTATGGATGATATTGGTCGCGAAAGACACCTTACTATTACAACTACTACAACAGCTACTAGGTGGTGTTAAACCAGCGAAGCGGAGGTGTACGGGTGGAAGCTCCTCATTGGTGGGGAAGAGCATGGCCGGCGATTCGCGTCGCCTCAACCCCCCCCACACTCTCACGTCGCTGACAGCATCGTCGTCCGTCCCTTTTTTCGTTATCCCTCGCCTCCACCGCCGCCTACCGCCCTGTAAATCGCTTAGATAATTATTTAACGTCGTTTCATCATACGTCGTCGCACCTTTCAGGAATGTATCCCTCGCCCCCCCCCCGTCAGTAAACGGTGACCGTGTAAACGAATTCTCGCCTCGATGGGATTCCAACAATCGATCTGCTTGTATTCTACTCAAGACCTCCTCCCCCCTGTTGCTTCCCCTGCAGAGAATGGCTTCATCGAGGGCAAGGAGCTCGAGAACTTCTTCCGAGACCTGGAGCAGGCGCGGCGCGGTGTTGGGGTGGTGAGCGACCCCCACCTCGCCTGCACCATCACCACCACCGCCATCCACCACTACCACCACCACCATCGTCGTCATCACTAACGTTATCTCCCTACTATAGCATTCTTCATTGCCATCATCATCGTCTTTTGTCGGCATCCTCGGCTGTGTCGTCATCTTCATTGTTTTTTTTATCGCGACAAAACGCGGAGTGCCGCTGAAATAATGCCGATCAACGTCGGAAGGGCAGCCGAGACGTCGGGACGTAAGTTAGGTGCAGGGGGGTGGCTATGAAGTTGGACTCCCTGCCCCAGCTAAGTGGGCACCAACGCATGGGGGTGTGTGTGAAGATTGTTTATGTGGTAAGGGGAGGAACTAACGTACCGAGGAAAGACCAAGAGCAAAGGGGAGGAGGGGGGGGAAGGATAACCCTACAAATAAAATAATCTACGAGCGGCTTATGGGGCTTATGCGCTAAACTCCCCACCGCTCACAGATCCGCTTGCCGCTCGTTCAAGGCTGAGGGGGCACTTGGCCCTCTCTCCACCCACTCCCATCTCCCGAAGGGGGAATCATCATCATCTTTAGCGTGTATGAAGGCCAATTAATTGACTGAAGGCATCTTAACATATAGAGAGTACTGCAGAGCTTGGGCAATTGTTGGTAGCGTTGATTCCTCGATGCCTGGCTGCTGCCGCCTTCCAGCTTGTGGGTCTGTGGTTCCTTGCCAATTGTCAGAGATGCACTTTTCACGAATAACACAAATATTAAATTAAACATTATTTTGTTAGAACTGCTTGTTTGTGTGTTAGTTTGTTGCCTTTCGCCCGCACTTCCAATTAGCACGGTTGGCTTCGTATGGTGCGAAAGACATTAACTACCTCGCCTGGTATACAGGAGGTCGTGGGTTCGATCCCGACCCTGATGCCTTCATATTTGGAGTTTGCAAGTTATCCCCTTGGTCGTATAGATTTTTCTCCGGGTCTTCGGGTTTTCCCCTCCACATTTAGAATCATGTGTTTAGAGTATTTGTCTGTTATACATTTCCATGTAACAAGCCACTTTGTTGGATATTCTGCTCGGATGGGGTCGAATTGATAAAATAACAGAGGGTTTACCGAAAGAAAACGCATACTGACGCCTATCTGAATGCAGAGTCACACCATCACCCCACACAGAAATCTGCTCTTATCTAGACGTTCATTCATCGAGCTAAGAAAGTGTAAAATGGTGACAGGCTGAGAAGTGAAATTAAACATGTTAAAGAAGCGTTGAAAATGAACGGTTGCAATGATGCACAAATCAACAGGGCATTTAATGCCAAAACCAAATCAAATAACACGAGTATTGAAACTGCCCAAGTAATTAAAACGATCAAAATACCGGACATTGCGGGAGTTAACTGATAAACTAGCCAGATGTTTGGAAAAACAAAACATCCGAGTCAGATTTGGCATGGTACATAAAATACAGAAATTAATATCTGGTACAAAAGATGTATTACCAAAGCTATCAACAGAAGGTGTGTACAGGATTAACTGCATTTGTGGCAAATGCTATGATGGGCAAACAGGACGAATGATCAGCACGAGACTACAAGAACATCAGAGAAATAGTAAATACTCCCAAATACAACTGTCAGCAGTAGCAGAACACGCTTGCCAACAAGGACATTCAATTGATTTTGATAATGTTGAAGTTCTGTGCAAAACTAGCTACTACTAGCCAAGACTAATGAGATAATCTCTCGAAATGGAAAGAAATAAAAATAATTTTAACCATTCGGATAGCTCCCGACTTAGTGCTGCGTGTAATTGAATCCTCAAATAATATATTGTTTAAATGCACGCTTATACAGGCCACCATTCTTCAATAGGGATTACCGTTGGTACGGCTAATTTAATATAAATTTCGATTTAAAGCTTTCGTGACCGCAAGGATTAATCTTCTTTGGTTCTTTCGGTAAAGTCACGTGGAATGAGAATAAAATAATAAATTGATAAAATAAAATAACACAAACAAAAATAACACGATAAAATTATTCTCATTCTACGTGACTTTACCGAAAGAACCAAAGAAGATAATTTAATATACACAATGGACAGCAAGGACAATATCAGAGGGCTCGAATAATGCGCATGCATAATGTACGTTCACTCATTAATCCCCCCCCCTCACTTAGCGCAAGAGTGCAGAAGTGTGGTTACCACATCTACACCTCTCTATAAGGAACGATACAGGTGAATGTCTCCACAAATCTGGCTGTCACCTGATGAAGCTGGTTGCAATTACTGGCGGAATGTAGTACTCAGATTGGAAATGTTGTGGCTTGGGTCTCCAACACACCGGTGTGCTGTACTATTATACTACACTATACACTACACACTTGTGCTGTACTAGTATATTACACTATACATTACACTACACACTAGTGCTGTACTAGTGACGAATTGGCACGTTCTGTTTACGTTACAACCCTTACCAGTTGGCTGTGTCGGGTGGTGGTGCGTTTTAACGACACATTTATATATTTACGCGATCTAACCCAAAAAAACCTCGATTAAACTCTACACTCTATACCATCACCATACTCTACACTGTATGGTACTATCCTCTGAATGCAATCTCCGCCGCCATCTGTGGTGAGTACTCTGTATTAACGTATATATTTGAAACTTGTTATATCATATATTTTTGAATATCGTTTTTTTGGTACTATACTTATTTAACCCTTTCTTAATGCAAATTTTAACCCAAAAAACGAACCCCAGCACCACATCCTAAATGTATATCATTAAGCGAATGGTAAAACGGCATTTACCGTAAACTGTTTGCTATGGCACGCTGGATCCGGTGAAAAATCGGCGGGCCATCGATTCATCTCCGGTGCGATTGGCGCCTTGTATAGGTGGCTAGGAGATGTTAACTCCCTCGCCTGGTATACAGGAGGTTGTGGGTTCGATCCCGACCCTGACAATGCCTGTATATTTGGAGTTGCGTGTTCTCACCCGCGGTCGCGTGGATTTTTTCCTCCAGTTATCCCTCCACCGTTATAAAACATGCATTTTTTGAATGTTTGGCCACTCTAAATTTCTACGCGATGATAAGCCACTTCGTTGAGCGATCATTTGCGATAGCCAGGTCGCTTTTAAAAAAAATAGCTATATCGCTCAGTGGGTCTCTACAGGGTACAATAAAAAAAATGGGTTTAGTTTTTAATGGATAATAGATGCAGGGCCCAAGTGCTGTCCCGGGGCGATGCGAATGACAGATGTGTTTTTGTCCCCCCCCCGCCACGCCTCTCCCCCCGCCACCCCTCTCGTTGTGCCGTTATCCCCGAGCGCAGGAACTGCCCGAGAGTGTGGTGAAAGAGAAGATGAAATCGTTCATGGAAAAGTACGACAAGAACGCGGACGGAAAGATAGAGATGGCAGAGGTGAGCGTGAATCTATCATGCCACGAACATCCTTCACGACAACGGAATAATTGCGATTCCGGGTTGCCTGTGCCGAGCCAGGACCCGTTCATTGCAGAGTGGGTTACTCGCCTTTCAACATGGGGGCGGTTTCACCAGCATTGGTTCAGGCGACCCCCCTACACTGTTAATGGGCAGAACCGTCCGCTAAGGGCACGGCGAATCGGGGGCGGCCGCCCCGAGCCCCACACTTTGGGGGGCACCACACAGTGGGATTTGCACCGGGCCCCGCACACACCCACTATGGATGGCCCTGCTGATGAGACAATGATTGCCAAAATGAGTGCAGTGTTTTACGTTGAAAGTAGAGCCTATTTCTGACAGAAAGGCTGCTTGACAGCATTGGTTTCGATCACGGCTGACTACGGATGAGACACTGAAAGTTGAAACCAGTCCAGAGTTTGCTTGTATTGAACCAATGCTGCACTCCCATAAGGTCGTTTTGCTGATGGGTTGTGTAAAACAAATACTTTGACTTTCCATGTGCAGAGACAAATATGGGAATGAGGCGTTAATTATTGTATCATTCACCCGTTGATCTGTCGTAGACACAGACAGAAACAACAGTGCAGGCTCATCAATACTTATTACACCTGTCGCTCATTACTCAATCATGCAGGTCCAATCTCTCGCACGCTCGGCTGACCTACGCGTAGTGGCTCACTTTCTTTGGCAGTCCTGAACTCGTGACGGAAACTCGACATTCCTATGGCAGAGCTAAGCACAGTTGAGCCCGGATAGTGCTTGAATTGGCGACCGTCATGCAGAACCAGTTGCTACAGGCCGCTGTGGGGTCTACGCGGTGGGCAGCAGAGGGCAGTGCAGAACATTCATTGTTGTACTGCGCTTCCATGCACCACGCCTATGATCCTCGCCGTAGCTAAACCCACACTGACCAGCGTGGTAAAGTATGGTCAAATAACCCCCACGACCCACACAGCGTCGGGAGGCCCTCATCCATCAGTGGATTGGCCAAAGGGCTGGATGTGCACGTGCACAACAGAGCCAGGTCTATTCACCCATAAGGCAACAACCTCTATTGACTACTCTCTCCAAATGGAAAGATGATGATGCTGATTTAATCCCGGCCACTTAATGTGAATTTCCCGTCGATATTTTCCACTGTGACGGCGGTAAATGCGGTAAAATGTGGAGATGCCAGGTGGCTCGGAGAGCGAGCGAGCAAGCGAGCGCCCCTTATCGGATCAAACGTCAAGAGCCATTTCCTGCCGCTCAAATGAGCGTCGAGGCAGTTCACTGGTGCTCATCTCCCGTTTACAGCCCCTGCAGAGCCAGTGGGGGGGGGGGGGAAATTCCACATTCCTACGGCGGGGATGAGTCCATCCATTGAACAAGCACTGTTGACTTCCCCACAAAGCGGTGCTCGTTGTGATCCACGTGCGTGTTTTTGGGTCGAGCCTCGTGGCAGTGATTGTAGTTTTATGCCAACGTGACAGTGGCGAGATGTTAACTACTTCGCCTGGTATACAGGAGGTTGTGGGTTCCATCCCAACCCTGACGCCTGCTGTATATTTGGAGTTGGCATGTTTCTCTCTCGCTCCCCGTGGTCGTGTGGATTTTTCTCCGGGTCCTCCGGTTTTTCCCTCCACATTTACAAATGTGCGTCTAGATTATTTTGAATGTTATGGTATTTGGCTGCTGTAAATTTAGATGTGATAAGCCACTTCGTTGAGCTATCATTTGTGATAGCCAGGTCGCTTGTGAAAAAAGAGCTCTATTGCAGCTCAATGTCTTTAACCCCTCCACCACCCGGCGACATTATTTACGCAGGTATTGTTACTACCATTGTTATGTACACATGCCAACGCATTGAGCTTCTTTAGGGAGCGATCCGAATTTCCGGTGTTCGCCAACCTCGATGAGACTTGAAGCAGTTGGAGCGGAACGTCGCCGCGCGTTCACGTTCACTTCAGCCGTGAAAAGTCTCACGCCGCCGATGAGGAGGGGTGGCGCTTGAATGGTCAGAATTTGATCTTCGCATGGCTGGAGAAGCAGTGATGTACATGCGTATGTTTGTTGAACTTCTTTCGCACCGTACATAGCCAAACGTGCTAATCAGAGGTGCAGGCAGAAGTACAACAAACGAAACACAAAAAGCATATTTAGAGAAATGAGTTTTCAACCTAGATTTAAAAGTGCGTAGCTCAAGTGGCTTTCTAATAAAGTTACAGTTTGATGTTAGTCATAGTTTGTTGTCGAGGTTAGCGATCCATTCAACGCCTTCAGGCGAGGCAGAGCGAGCGGTCGCGATGCCCACCGGGACTGGATCTCTCACGGCCAGGAGTTCGGTGGTACATGGAGTGATCGATCGTCTGACTTGGGTGGTGGCCACGGTGACAATCTGTTCCGCTCCTCGCGTGTTCCACTTATGCAACAAATGGCCGCATCTTCTTCCCCTGGCCTTGTCCTCAAGCGGTTGGTTGGGGGTCGTCCAAGTTTTTCGTGGAAGTGGTCGAACCCTGGTACTTTGGGGAGAATGCGATCGGCGCACAATAACGTGTGGCAGGAATAATGTTATCTGCCTCGAGGTCACAATCCTAACAGGTGGCGGAGGGCCTAACGACAAGAATCTTGGCATCGGACATCGCCCAAAAACCAACACGGAGAATCACGTTGGCTATGCAAGCTGCCGTTTGTACGGTACTCGTTTTATCAACCCCGGTTCGAGCGATGGATGATGGGCCGAGCCATCCCGCAGCCAGGATTTGAACTCGCGACCTCTCCGATCGTCGTGAGCCGCTCGCTCCCATCCGGTGCGGTGGCGCAACTGGAATGTAAATTGAGATTATAAACTTAAAACGGAAAAAGAGAGCAGAGAGATGAACAAAGTCGTTGTTTTCCATCACGAGGAAGAAAAAGGAGTATGTTGGAGGATGTTGACAAGAGAGCGTGGCCATTCCCGAGGTATTGTAGTTTTGAAGCCGTGTGATTTATGAGATTTCTATATTTTTGTGTTTTTGTTTAAATCCGCAGTTGGCGCAAATTCTCCCGACCGAGGAGAACTTCCTTCTCTTCTTCCGGCAACACGTCAAGTCCAGCGCCGAGTTCATGGAGGTGCGTTGGTCCACTATGAGTTGGGATCATCACCATCACCACCACCGCAATCATCATGATAATCATTATCACAATCATTGCCATCATGATCATCATGATAACCACATCATAATCACAATCATCATGATCATTATCACGATCATCATCATTACAGTCATTATCATGAGCGTCATCTCGCCCCTCCGATTAGCACAGTTCGTTATGTACTGTGCGAAAGAAGTTCAACATATACACATCATGATCATAATCATGCTCGTCATCAAATCATCGTGATCATCGTATTCATCATTATCACAGCGTGGTGGTGCAAGCAAAAGATATCAATCCGGATCTGATGGGATTCCTCTTCTACTTCATCTGTAAGCGGAGAGTTGAACAGCAATGCGTGTTGTTGTTCATGTCGCTCTTGACGAGTGGGCCAGTGGACAACTTCAGGAGCAGCCTCGCGGTTAATTTCCGAAACCCCGCTGGCGAATTGTTGAAGTGGGCATCGGCGTTACTGTGTGTGTCCATGGATTGAGATATTTATTGACGTAGAGATGCCTAGACTTGCATAGAGACCCATGACAACAACACGCGCAATGCACCAATAAGTGGCAGTGACGTCACCATGGTGCCTGTTACCAGGCCAGGGAAGCCACTTGATTTGTCGAAGGGTCGCTGACAGCAGGTCACGGGACAGACCCAGGTGCCATGGGTTTGCTGACTGAGATGACCGGCAGCTGCACCATCTGTGCCCCCTACTGTGCGAACTTGCTGCGTTGACCCGCCCGGCGCTCCGCTCATTGTTGTTAGCATGATCCTCTGCCCTCCGTTGTTGTTGGAGGGTGACTGCCTCCAACTGACCAGCAGAGTCCTCCACAAGCCTCCTGCATAAAGACCCATAGACCTATATACAGTGAGGGAAAAAATTCTTTGATCCCCTGCTGATTTTGTACGTTTGCCCACTGACAAAGAAATGATCAGTCTATAATTTTAATGGTAGGTTTATTTGAACAGTGAGAGACAGAATAACAACAACAAAATCCAGAAAAACGCATGTCAAAAATGTTATAAATTGATTTGCATTTTAATGAGGGAAATAAGTATTTGACCCCTCTGCAAAACATGACTTAGTACTTGATGGCAAAACCCTTGTTGGCAATCACAGAGGTCAGACGTTTCTTGTAGTTGGCCACCAGGTTTGCACACATCTCAGGAGGGATTTTGTCCCACTCCTCTTTGCAGATCTTCTCCAAGTCATTAAGGTTTCGAGGCTGACGTTTGGAAACTCGAACCTTCAGCTCCCTCCACAGATTTGCTATGGGATGAAGGTCTGGAGACTGGCTTGGCCACTCCAGGACCTTAATGTGCTTCTTCTTGAGCCACTCCTTTGTTGCCTTGGCCGTGTGTTTTTGGTCATTGTCATGCTGGAATACCCATCCATGACCCATTTTCAATGTCCTGGCTGAGGGAAGGAGGTTCTCACCCAAGATTTGACGGTGCATGGCCCCGTTCATCGTCCCTTTGATGCGGTGAAGTTGTCCTGTCCCCTTAGCAGAAAAACACCCCCAAAGCAAAATGTTTCCACCTCCATGTTTGACGGTGGGGATGGTGTTCTTGGGGTCATAGGCAGCATTCCTCCTCCTCCAAACATGGCGAGTTGAGTTGATGCCAAAGAGCTCCATTTTGGTCTCTTCTGACCACAACACTTTCACCCAGTTGTCCTCTGAATCATTCAGATGTTCATTGGCAACCTTCAAACGGACATGTATATGTGCTTTCTTGAGCAGCGGGACCTTGCGGGCGCTGCAGGATTTCAGTCCTTCACGGCGTAGTGTGTTACCAATTGTTTTCTTGGTGACTATGGTCCCAGCTGCCTTGAGATCATTGAGAAGATCCTCCCGTGTAGTTCTGGGCTGATTCCTCACCGTTCTCATGATCATTGCAACTCCACGAGGTGAGATCTTGCATGGAGCCCCAGGCCGAGGGAGATTGACAGTTCTTTTGTGTTTTTTCCATCTGCGAATAATCGCACCAACTTTTGTCACCTTCTCACCAAGCTGCTTGGCAATGGTCTTGTAGCCCATTCCAGCCTTGTGTAGGTCTACAATCTTGTCCCTGACATCCTTGGAAAGCTCATTGGTCTTGGCCATGGTGGACAGTTTGGAATCTGATTGATTGCTTCTGTGAACAGGTGTCTTTTATACAGGTAACAAGCTGAGATTAGGAGCACTCCCTTTAAGAGTGTGCTCCTAATCTCATCTCGTTACCTGTATAAAAGACACCTGGGAGCCAGAAATCTTTCTGATTGAGAGGGGGTCAAATACTTATTTCCCTCATTCAAATGCAAATCAATTTATAACATTTTTGACATGCGTTTTTCCGGATGTTTTTTGTTGTTATTCTGTCTCTGACTGTTCAAATAAACCTACCATTTAAATTATAGACTGATAATTTCTTTGTCAGTGGGCAAACGTACAAAATCAGCAGGGGATCAAATACTTTTTTTCCTCACTGTAGACACCCATCGACTCAAATCGGCACGGCTTCAGGAGTGGCCTCACGGCGAATATCTGAAAAGCTGCCGGCAAATGATTGAACCTGGCAGTAGCGTTGCTGCGTGCTCCATGGATTGAGCTTGGTGCCCACAGCGCCAACCACCTCGGATCTCTGTCATCGCAGGCGGCGGCGCTTCGCGATCGCCGTGCCTGTCGCTCACCAAGCAATCGCGATTCAGCGCTGGACCACCGGCCGCAGGGGAAACTGACACCGGGTGGCTCTGCGGTTGGGTCAGTGATCAAATGCCCGTTAAATTATTCATCCAGATCACAAAAGGGGATGGAAAAATCCAAAAGTGTCCTTACAAATAAATAAATCCAAAATTGCATTTTTAAAAATCGCTGATTGGCTCTCAATCAGAAGGGCACACGTTCAAATCCCAGTCAAGGGTTGACTCGGAGCTATCATTCTTCTTGAGTCAATAATAATAAAAACGGCTTTGTCGCTGAGTTCCCATCCATGATAACGCGGACTTTCCGCCGCTGATTCTGGGCCACCGATGGATACGAGCGCCTCGGCGTGGCTCGCTTGAGCTCGAGGGACACTTTGGGCACGGAGGCACGTCCTGCAAGCTTGTATTATTAATGGTCCAAATGGCAAAGCCTTTCGGAGATTCATAAACATTTCGGGTCATCATTACGCTCTCATGGGTTTTCTCTCGGAACGTCAGCGCGCATTTTCGCACGATCAACTCGACGTTTTCTTTGTTCGCTTATAGGGAAGCGTGCATCTGCTTCCTCTCCCCCCCCCCCCCCCCCCCCCACAGTGTAATGGAGTGAATCACAAATTAATGAATGCTTCGAATTTTTTTTTACCAATGAATTATTTAACGGCTCTAGGCTGATTTGCGGGGGGGGGGTGGAGGGTGGGGCGAGCGGGTGTCTCATTTAACAGAAAACGCAAATTCATTCCAACCGCTCGTAATCCACCAATGGGTGGAGGAGACCTCTCAATATCCTCGTTGGTTATGAGGTTGTCTTGACCTACTTCACCCATGGCATTCCAATGCCGCTTGGCGATGGTGGGGTGGCGGGAGAACCGATGAGCATATCAGAATACAGGACTCCTCGACTTACGAACGTTCGACTTACGACCTTCCAGGGATACGAACAAACCTGTCCATATGTCGAGTCTGTTGGTACCGAGAGTCGTAAGTTCAACCACCGCGCAATAGATGGCGGTGGTGGCATCTACGTCTGCAGAACATGAAGAACCAGTGGCATCTACATCTACGGGAGATTGTACAACTTTTAAAGCTATTTACCATGTTTAGTGTACAACATGTTTAGAATCAACAGGAGTAAAGTTAAACTTATGAACAAATCAACTTACGAACAGTAGTTCACAGATGTCTATATGACTCACCACTGATGTTCGCCAGGGCCTGGACTCGAACTGGACCCGCATGGCTTCGTAATGCAACATGCTAACCAGCTATCCTGTACATACAAAGACAAAGATCCCACCGTATAACCTTTAACAGACTGTTGGGGCAAGTGCTGTTATCGAGTAGCACCTATGAAGGTGGGAACGGTATACGAGGGTGTGGGTGGCCAGCACCACGCCCAACTGCCTTTGTCTCCTCATTTGTGATGTTTACACACCACACCAGGTACTCATTTGATGCTAAGTCAACCTAGGGGAAGACTCCCAGGGTCTGTTAAGATGATCGTCACTCAGTGTAACACGTAGGCTTTCGCGACCAATATTCATAATGAAGGTTTTTGGGTTAGACTGCGTCAGTATAAATGTGTCGAAACCCTCCACCACCTGACACAGCCAATTAGTAAGGGATTTGTCACGTAAACAAAACGGCAAATAGTTACGACTTCAGCCCAACGGTGTGTTGGAGAGTAACTTACCAGCGAAACCCAAAAACCTTCATTATGAATTATCGTCACTGGGTGTTGGCCGTGAGCGGGAATCGAACAGGGTTCCGCCGGGTTAGTAGCGCAGCGCGCTAACCGCTGCACCTCCACTCCCACGTACATACAACACCCCTACCTCCATACACAACATCTGCGATGATACCACAAACCTATCATTGATTACCCAGGAAAACCTCGTTGTTTTCAGGAGGGTCCTGCCAGGTTTAATAGTTAGGGGATTGTGGCCTTCACAGCTGCCCAGTGAGGAGCCGGGGGAGGGGTCGGGGACACGTGCCCCGTGCCTCACACACAAAGAGGTTCCACCAATCAGGAGCCAAGTATTTTTTTCCTTTTCCTTCGCCGCACGTGGCCTTCCGGCCGGGGTCTCGAGCCCCTCGGTCTCTAGGCGACGGTGCCGGCCTTGATGGACCTCTTGACATCCACCTTGACCTTTGCCGTTGACCTTCCTAGCACCTCTATCCCCCGCTGCCCCCCCCCCTCTTTTCGTCGCAGACGTGGAGGCGATACGACACGGACCGCAGCGGCTACATCGAGGCCAACGAGCTGAAGGTGCGTCGAGGCGTAAGCGTGGGCGCTCGGATACGAGATCGATTCCCCCGGCGACGTGCGAACAATGAGCGGCGCGCGGTCGATCCGTCGGTTCGTGCGGCAGAGCGCCGTGGCTTGCAGTGAAGTCGAGAATACCTCTATCACCACCACCGCCAACACCATCATCATCATCATCGCTACCAGCATCACCTCCTCCACCGCAAACACCATCAGCCATCATCACCACCGCCTTCAACACTAGCATCACTACCACCGCCATCATCACTACCAGCATAACCACCACCAACGCCACCACCATCACCACCAGCATCACCACCATCGTCAAAATCACCACCGCCACCACACCATCACCACCAGCATCGCCACCACCACCATCACCACCACCATCTTCACGATCACACCATAATGCGTTGCCATCTGGCCCTGAACATCCCCTGGGTCGATTCGGTCTCAAATGAGTACCTGGTGCGGTGTGTAAACATCGGCACTCGGGAGACAAAGGTGGCCGGGCGTGGTGTTGGCCACCCACCCCCTTGTGTGCCTTGTGGGCCTTCATAGGCGCTCGCTAACAGCACTTGCCCCAACAGCCTGGGTAGGCTACACGGGGAATCTTTATCTTGTGGTAAGTTTTCTTCAGTCACTAACATAGCCTTCACTACTCTCGTGCCTAGAGTGTGTGTGTGTGTCACTAGTGTCTAGCGTGTGTGTGTGTGTGTGTCACTAGTGTCTAGAGTGTGTGTGTGTGTGTCACTAGTGTCTAGCGTGTGTGTGTGTGTGTCACTAGTGTCTAGAGTGTGTGTGTGTGTGTCACTAGTGTCTAGAGTGTGTGTGTGTGTGTCACTAGTGTCTAGAGTGTGTGTGTGTCACTAGTGTCTAGAGTGTGTGTGTCACTAGTGTCTAGAGTGTGTGTGTCACTAGTGTCTAGAGTGTGTGTCACTAGTGTCTAGCGTGTGTGTGTGTCACTAGTGTCTAGCGTGTGTGTGTCACTAGTGTCTAGCGTGTGTGTGTGTGTCACTAGTGTCTAGAGTGTCTGTGTGTCACTAGTGTCTAGAGTGTCTGTGTGTCACTAGTGTCTAGTGTGTGTGTGTGTGTCACTAGTGTCTAGAGTGTGTGTGTGTGTCACTAGTGTCTAGAGGGTCTGTGTGTCACTAGTGTCTAGTGTGTGTGTGTGTGTCACTAGTGTCTAGAGTATGTGTGTGTCTCTAGTCGCGAGCGTGTGTGTGTGTCACTAGTGTCTAGAGTGTGTGTGTGTCACTAGTGTCTAGTGTGTGTGTGTGTCACTAGTGTCTAGAGTGTCTGTGTGTCACTAGTGTCTAGAGTGTCTGTGTGTCACTAGTGTCTAGAGTGTCTGTGTGTCACTAGTGTCTAGAGTATCTGTGTGTCACTAGTGTCTAGAGTATCTGTGTGTCACTAGTGTTTAGAGTGTGTGTGTGTGTGTCACTAGTGTCTAGAGTATGTGTGTGTCACTAGTGTCTAGAGTGTCTGTGTGTCACTCGTGTCTAGAGTGTCTGTGTGTCACTAGTGTCTAGAGTGTATATGTGTCACTAGTGTCTAGAGTATCTGTGTGTCACTAGTGTTTAGAGTGTGTGTCACTAGTGTCTAGAGTGTGTGTGTGTGTCACTAGTGTCTAGAGTGTCTGTGTGTCACTAGTGTCTAGCGTGTGTGTGTGTCACTAGTGTCTAGAGTGTGTGTGTGTCACTAGTGTCTAGTGTGTGCCACTAGTGTCTAGAGTGTGTGTGTGTCACTAGTGTCTAGAGTGTGTGTGTGTGTCACTAGTGCCTAGAGAGTGTGTGTGTCACTAGTGCCTAGAGTGTCTGTGTGTTACTAGTGTCCAGTGTGTGTGTCACTAGTGCCTAGAGTGTGTGTGTGTCACTAGTGTGTGTGTGTGTGTGTCACTAGTGTCCAGTGTGTCTGTGTGTGTGTCACTAGTGTCTAGAGTGTCTGTGTGTGTCACTGGTATCTAGAGTGTGTGTGTGTCACTAGTGTCTAGAGTGTGTGTGTATCACTAGTGTCCAGAGTGTGTGTGTGTCACTAGTGCCTAGAGTGTGTGTGTGTCACTAGTGTCCAGAGTGTGTGTCACTAGTGTCTAGAGTGTGTGTGTGTTACTAGTGTCTAGAGTGTGTGTGTGTTACTAGTGTCTAGAGTGTGTGTGTGTGTGTGTGTTACTAGTTTCTAGAGTGTCTGTGTGTGTTACTAGTGTCTAGAGTATGTGTGTGTCACTAGTGTCTAAAGTGTCTGTGTGTCACTAGTGCCTAGAGTGTCTGTGTGTGTCACTAGTGTCTAGAGTGTGTGTGTCACTAGTGTCCAGAGTGTGTGTGTGTCACTAGTGTCCAGAGTGTGTGTGTGTCACTAGTGTCTAGAGTGTCTGTGTGTCACTAGTGTCTAGAGTGTGTGTGTGTGTCACTAGTGTCTAGAGTGTGTGTGTGTCACTAGTGTCTAGAGTGTGTGTGTGTGTCACTAGTGTCTAGCGTGTGTGTGTGTGTCACTAGTGTCTAGAGTGTCTGTGTGTCACTAGTGCCTAGAGTGTCTGTGTGTGTTACTAGTGTCTAGAGTATGTGTGTGTGTCACTAGTGCCTAGAGTGTCTTTGTGTCACTAGTGTCTAGCGTGTGTGTGTGTGTCACTAGTGTCTAGAGTGTGTGTGTTACTAGTGTCCAGTGTGTGTGTCACTAGTGTCTAGAGTGTGTGTGTGTCACTAGTGTCTAGCGTGTGTGTGTGTGTCACTAGTGTCTAGAGTATGTGTGTGTCACTAGTGTCTAGAGTGTCTGTGTGTCACTAGTGTCCAGAGTGTGTGTGTGTGTGTGTCACTAGTGTCTAGAGTGTGTGTGTGTGTGTCACTAGTGTCTAGAGTGTGTGTGTGTCACTAGTGTCTAGAGTGTGTGTGTGTGTCACTAGTGTCTAGAGTGTGTGTGTGTGTCACTAGTGTCTAGAGTGTCTGTGTGTCTCTAGTCGCGAGCGTGTGTGTGTGTGTGTGTCACTAGTGTCTAGAGTATGTGTGTGTCTCTAGTCGCGAGCGTGTGTCCCCTGTGTGTGCCGCCGCGCTGGTAGAACTTCCTGCGTGACCTGCTGACCAAGGCCCGCAAGAAGTACGACAACGACAAGCTGGACGAGTACACGCACACCATCGTGAGCGCCACACTCCTCCCTCCGTACCCTCTGAGCTCCGTCCTCCGCACTCTCCTCCCTACTCGCTCCCAACTCCTCCCTCTGCACTCCTTCCTTCGAACTCTTCCCTCCACACCTCCGCACCCTTCGAACTCCTCCCTCCGCACTCCTTCGTCCACACCTCCGCACTCCTCCCTCCGCACCCTCTGCTGCCTCCGAACTCCTCCGTCTGCACTCCTCCTTCCACTCTCACTCTCTCCGCACTTACTCCCCACCCGGCTCACACACTCGCTGACCACCAGCGAGCATCCGTGCGTGTGCGTACACATTATGGGGAGCGGCAGCGCAGCGGCTAGCGCGCCACGCCTGCGAACCCAGCGATGGATTCGCCTGCTCCGGTTCAGATGATCACTCTCAACTCTTCACTGATGTCGTCCGTGGCCGGGAATCCATCTCGGATCGCGGTGCAGCGAGTTTCACCGCCGCCGTTAGCGCTCCACCCATCGGTACGTTTACTTGGCTTGCTCGTAGGTGGCATGGGCTGGCACAGAGGGTGGCATACCCTGCCAGCACCGCCGAGAACTTGGGGTTGGATTCCAGGCAGCCAGGGTTTTCCCGCGGGGTTTTGCTTTAAATGAAGCGAACCCCGCACGGGTATTCGACCTCTCCGGGTCTCATCGGTAGGGTGCGGTGCCGCCGAGCCGCTTCGTCGCGAGTCTTCAGCCTCGTTCAGCTCGAGCCAAGGGCCGAATCCGTCGCCGCTTTGACGTTGTGTTTTTGTTTGTGTGTGCGCGTGTGTGTGTGTGTGTGTCCGCGTTGCTCGTTGCAGTTGAGAATATTCGACACCAACCGTGATGGAAAATTGGGTCTGGGTGAAATGGCGAGGTGAGTGGAAGGCCCCCCCCGATCGTTAAGCTCCCCCCCCCCCTCGTTCACCCCCCCCTGCCCCCCACACTCCTGTCTCGTCCATCGGTTCGTCTCTCCCTATCCATATTAGATCGACGTCTCCACGCTGTGTACACCTGTGTTCTAGATTTGAAGCTTTCGTGACTGCAAGGATTCATACTCTTTGGTTTTATTCGGTAAAGTCACGTAGGTAAAATAAAACAATTAAATCACGACGTTTTGGAGACAACACAAGCTTCGGGGGGCCCTTTGATGTGAGCTTTGAGAAGTGGGTGTTACCCGCAGCATTCTATCAAAAGGCTGCTTAGCCCAGCCCTCCCACCCACCCACGCCCCCCTTACTGACTCCTCCCCCCTCCCTTAACCTGTATATAATCCAAGGTCGTCTCTGAACTGTGCTCCTGACACAGATATTCTGCGTTGACTTTTCCACCTGAAGACGGATGCTTGTGTTGCCTCCGAAACGTGATTTAATTGTTTTAATTTGTTTTATTTTATCTACGTGACTTTACCGAGTAAAACCAAAGTGTACACCTGTGTTGTTGTTTTCCGCCCACCGCAGGTTGCTTCCTGTGCAGGAAAACTTCCTGTTGAAGTTTCAGGTGAGTGCACTCGCAATTCACACAAAGATCCTCACCCCCGTATGAGCCTCAACAGACCGTTGGGGCAAGTGCTGGTGGTGAGTAGCACCTATGAAGTCTGGCATGGCACAAGAGGGGGTGGGTGACCAACACCATGCCCGGCTGTCTTTGTCTCCACAGAGGGCTATGTTTACACACTGCACCAGGGACTCATTTAAAGCTGAGTCGACCTATGGGAGGTCCAGGACCGGTTCCGATAATCACCTCTAATATTGGCCGTAAGCGGAAATCGAACTCGGGTCGAACGGGTTTGTCGCGCAGTACGCTAATAATGTAACTGTGCCACCGCTCCTCACACACAAACACACGGAGAGGACAAGGATATGTTCGGGACAATTTACAAAGTTATAACAGTCTTCGTGCTGGCAGCAGTGACGTCGCCCCACGCCAACGTGACATCACCCTCACGGGGGGGGGGGGGTGGGGAAGAGCGTGGAAGTGGCGGCATACCGATGTGATGTCACTTCCGGTTTTGGGATCTATCGGAAACAATGCGAAATCGCGGTGGTCTGAAAGATCCGTGCTGTATATCTGTAGGCCCGATTTGAGGATTTTCGCCAAATGTGAATATTCGGAGACGCGTCCCGAACATTCACGCATCACGTACGTGCACGTAACGGGTCGTCTGTCCAACAATGGCGGACGGCTCTTGTGCCCACGACGCGTGCATAATGTGACGACTTAAAGACAAAAACGATACACACATCAACACGAAAGCACCTTTGTGCTTTGACGGAGATGAAGACGACAACACGCAGGGCTGAAAAAACACTGATTCTTGAACTGAATATTGATCCAAATCACAATAATTGTATTGTCAAACGTCATAACTCCGTATAGGTCTGATATAAATCATGCGCAGTGCGTATGTGCACTGCCCTGTGGTGTAAAGGTCAACGGCATGCCGGACTTTCAATTGTGAGGTCGCCGGCTCGATTCCATCTCCTGGAATCGAACGTGCAATCCTGAGGTCGCAGTTGAAATAACGGTGCAAGTTTCTTAAATCGCCCAGCTGCCTCTGTCCACCCAGCCAGCAGTATAAATGGGGTCACCACAGTTCGTCAACCGGCAGGTCGCATGTGCTGGGGTAAAAATGAAACAACAAAAAAACGAAGCTACTTTTTTATTTTACCAGGTAAGGCCCCATAGAGCTACGTAGCTCTTTTTCAGAAGCGGTCTGGCTATCACAATGATAGCTCAACGAATTGGCTTATCATGTGGATATTTATTAAGCAGTCAAATAGTCTAAACGCATGTTGATTCTAAATGTGGATGAAAAAAACGGAAGACCCGGGGGAAAAAAAAATCCATGCTACCACAGGGAGAGAAACACGAAAAACTCCATATTTCCAGCAGGCGTCAGGGTCGGGATCGAACCCACGACCTCCTGTATAACCAGGCGATGTAGTTAACATCTCGCCAAATATGGGTACTTCCACCTCTTCCAAGAACGTCCGTCCAGCCTGGCAGAGCGGTGCCAAGATGCCCTGTGGACCTTCCCTCTAGGGGCTGCACCCCCGTACGTACCCTTGCGGTGTGGCCACGTGTGTGTGCGCAGTAGTGTCAGCGGAGACGACTGCTGCCCCCCCTAACCGTGGAACGCTTTCCCCTTCTGCTGCAGGGAGTCAAAATGACAGCCAAGGAATTCAACGAGATATTCGCGTACTACGACAAGGTACGGCGGAAGGAAATCTGCGGCGTTTCGTGCTTTTTTTTGTACCAGCTAATCTGGCGTTCCCCGGGACAGAGCTGGACAAACACGCGTACAGGCTGCGGCGAAGTAGGAGCGGCAATCACGCATGCGTGGATATCCGGGATGGGCATCGCAAGCTTGGCAAGCTTTTGCCATGCGCAACTGCGGACGACTCCCAACGGATGTCTGTCGCCTATTTTTTGAAATGTAAATCGTTTCCTTTAAAGGGAAAGTGTTCGTTCAAATCCAACTCTGTGTTACTGATGATGAAAACCATTGCAACAGGATAAAAATTGTTATTGTTTTAATTGTATATTTGTTTTAAGAGATTTGTTTACCTTTCCAATACTTTGCATTCCTATCATGTTTTTGCATTGTTGTTGTAATCTTCTGACCAGCCCCTACTGGGCATCTGTGAAAAAGAGCTTCATAGCTCATCGGATTCCTCCTCCAGTATAAATAAACATTCTGATTCTGAGATGGAAAAAATGCACAAGCTGCTGGGACACGGCACAATTCCCACGATGCCTCGCGTGTGCGTCATGTGACCACCGCGTCATCCCATGCACTCCCTGAGCCGCCGGTGTCGGCGACAATATGGCTGCTGCCGTACGTCTTGAGCTGGTGGTCTGGGCAAGGCTGAGAGATCATTGCTTGTGCGAAGCGCGCTGTGCGCACGTCTATGCACGCAGGGCAAAGTGGGGAGCTGACGTTTGCGAGCGGCATTAGATCCGTTCGGGTGGAAGTATTGTTGATCGAGGCCTTGTGTTTGTTCACACGCATGAAAGGTTTTTTATATCTATGAGGGGCGAGCCTCCTGCGAATGCCTTGATGACTCAAACGTGCGTACGTCGCTTTGATGCTGCACGTTGAGTGCGCGTAATGGGCACTTGGCGCAACATGAATCGCGAGATGAAAAAGCGGCGCACGGGAGCGATCGGGTAATCGTCGATTGCCAGCCAGTCAGCGTGCAAACCTTTGTTTCCCTATCAAAAAGAAATATTCTTCTAGCAACAATACAGAGGCACAAAGAGCCAGGGTCACACACCTCTCCAAGTGGCAGTGGTCTAAGGAGCAGAGACAGGAAGGGTGAGAGAACGAGGGGAGAAGGATTGGGAGAGAACGGACAGATAGTAAGAGGGAAATGGCGTGGAAGAGATCGCGTAAGGGGGGATGGACGACATTCCCATTTGGCCATCTGTCAAAAAGAGCTTCATAGCTCATCGGATTCCTGCAGTCTGAATACAGATTATGATTATGAGTTAAAACCTATGTTGCTCTGGGTTCTTAGCGCAGTGCCTATGCTACTACAACACCACCCGCTACATTACATCCACAAAGACTGGCAGAGCAAGCGTTGTTCGTGAGCTTTGAGATCCAACTTATGGCATCGATCTCATCCTCATCCAGAGGTTTTATGTCACCACTTCAAAGATTCAGTGTGGTGTAATGAATGGATATGATTCATATATATAAACCCTGACCAATCAGGAGCCCCCAAAGGTTAGGCTACCAGTTTGGCCGGAGCAGTCTGGAAGTCTGTTCCGGTGTCCCCCCGAACCCACCCACCCCTCCCCTTGATGCTGGGGGTGGGGGAGGCGAGGCTCGGTGTGAGAGTTTTCACGGGCGAGCATTGCTCTGTGCGTTCATCGTTTCAGGACGGGAGCGGCTACATCGACGAGAACGAGCTGGATGCCCTGCTCAAGGACTTGCTGGAGAAGAACAAGCAGGTACCGCCCGGACGCATTCCCTAGACACTCACTCGCCGGAGTAATGTCCGAGCGCCTGACTCCCGCCCGTACGTACATATGTATGGAGAATCGTCTACTTACGAACGAATTTGGTTCTCGAGGTCTGTTCGTAAGCCGATTTGTTCGCAAGTCCAACTTTACTCCTGTCCAAACACGTTGTACGCCATGTACACTAAACACGGATAATGGCTTTAAAAGTTGTATAATCTCCTGTAGATGTAGATGCCACTGGTTCTTCATATTCTGCAGATGTAGATGCCATCGGTTCTTCATGTTCTGCACATGTAGATACCACTGGTTCATCATGTTCTGCACATGTAGATACCACTGGTTCTTCCTGTTCTGCACATGTAGATGCCACTGGTTCATCATGTTCTGCACATGTAGATACCACTGGTTCTTCATGTTCTGCAGATGTAGATGCCACTGGTTCATAATGTTCTGCAGATGTAGATGTCACTGGTTCTTCAGGTTCTGCAGATGTAGATGCCATTAGTTCATCATGTTCTGCAGATGTAGATGCCACCGGTTCTTCATGTTCTGCACATGTAGATACCACTGGTTCTTCCTGTTTTGCAGATGTAGATGCCACTGTTTTTTTCAAATTCTGCAGATGTAGATGCCACCACCATCATCTATTGCACGGCGGTTGAACTTACGACTCTCGGTCCGAACAGGCAGCTGGACATAGGGACAGGTTTGTTCGTATCTCTGAAAGTTTGTAAGTCGAATGTTTGTAAGTCGTCCTGGTATGTTGAATTTCTTTTGCACCGTACATAGCCAACCGTGCTAATCAGAGGTGCGGGGAAAGGACAACAAACTAAACACAAAAAGCAGTTCTAAATAACGAGATTTCAAATCAAGATTTAAAATTGTACAGCTCCAGTGGCTTCCTAACATCGGAAGGAAGAGAATTCCAGATGGCTGCAGAAGCGCATCTGAAAGCGCCGCGCGAATGCAGTGACTATATTTGTTCGATGGCCAGCCAAAAGCCACCGCTGCTCCTGTGAGGATGAGCGGAGTTCGCGTGATGATGGTTTATCCGGCACACATGCCGTGTGATTACCGCATGGCATATGCAGTGCACTCAGCCTTGTCCAGACCACCAGTTCACAGTCACACGTGCAAATTTTGAGAAAGATGGGAGGGGGAAGACGCAGAAGAGCGTGTGGAGTAGAGTGAGTTGAGAGGGGAGAGGTAGGAGAGTATAGGGATGTTGAGTCTTTGGCTTTTGCGCTTGAGGTGATAATATATGCATTGTCCTTGAGGTTTCAAGGACAATGCATATATTATCATAGTATGTTTTTTGTTTGCATTTTGACTGCAGGTATTGTGGTTAATGCAGTAACATGAATCCTTGTAAAAAAAAGATTTCAGTTTTGTTGCCAGAAAAAAAAGGGGAAAAACCCTATTATTACATTTCGCTACTGCAAAGGAGGTCTAATGATATATAGCTCTTTTTCAGAAGTGGCTTATCATGTGGACATGTATAGCAGCCAAATACTCTAAACGTGCGATTTTGATTCTAAATGTGGAGGGAAAAACCGGAGGACCCGTAAGAAAAATCCACGCGACGACAGGGGAGAGAGAGAGGCACCACAAACTAAAAATACACAGCAGGCGTCAGGCTCGCGATTTAAACCCACGGCCTCCTGCACACAAGGGGAGGTCGTTGGCATCTCGCCACCGTAAACCATGGCCGGGATTCGAACTCGGGTCACGAGCACTGGACCACCGCCGCCCGTCCTCATTGTCCGCCATCGTTGATGGCGAAGGCGACGGTGGTGGTTGTTGTTGTTGTTGTACTTGCTGCTCCATGCTTGTGCGGCACCGCCAACGCAGATCCCCTCCCCTTCCCTAGTCAACGGCGTTGCTTTAATTACCCACGGAATAGTTTGCTCTGAAGGCATGTCAGCCAAAAGGTCAATTAACTTGACCTTTTCTTTCTAGAACCGTTGTTTGTAGTGACCTCCTGACCTTACCCGGGCTGTCCTGTCTCAGACCCTGACGCGGGCTACGTTATCTTGGCTCGGAGCTCAGCGGCGATTCGCCTGATCATGAATATGTTAATTATGCTTTGCCTAATCATGATTACGTTAATTATGCTAATTATTATTTGAGTTATCATTTTAGTTACTTATAGTTTGCCTGTTTGTGAATATGTTAATTATGATTTGCCTGATCTTGAATATGGTCATTACTTTTGCCTGGTCGTGAATATGTCAATTATTCTTTGCATGAACATGCATATGTTCATTATTCTGCCGTACGGGTTGGCAGAGAGACAGCGCAGCGACGGTTAATTCTGGGAAGGCATTATTCCCGGATTACTGTTTTTAATGACCATCTTGTGTTACGTATTGTAAAGTTTTGCACTGAACTAGGACCCGTTTCGGGGACGGGCACATCTTCGTAGCACGTACATTATCTACTGATTTACTTGCTATGAAGAAGAGAGCCACAACGTCGCTGATTTTATATATATTTATTTAGTAAAGACAAAGATCCCCCATATTGTCTTCAACAGACTGTCAACTTCACCAGACTGTCGACTGTAGTCTGTTGAAGTATTTTCTTATCAGGCCCCACACACACACACACGTCATGTTGTTGAAGTATTTTCTTATCAGGCCCCACACACACACACACGTGATGTTGTCATTAACGTCCACGTTGAGTTCCTTGTTGTTTGTGCTTGTGCACCAGCTTTGGTTTAAACAAACCTGACTGCTGATGAGCCACCTGGTTGTTGAAACGACACCACAGTTTTGCTTGTATCAAATCAATGCTCCTGAAAATAGTAACTCCCAGAAGGCCCTGTGGCCTGATGAGATGTGTTTTTGTGCGGTTATTTATTTGACTACATTCAGAAGTTGGCCACAGAGAGTGACAAACGTAGAAGCAAGAAAAAGGCTGAACACAACAGAAGACTTGATGAAGGAAACTGAGCTTTATGAGATCTCCTTTGCCAGTAGCAAGATATAGTAATAGGTTTTAACCCTTATATCTGGCACAAAAAGTGACACCTTTATACAAGGGATCATGTTTGCAATAACCACAACACATGCAGTCAAATGCAAAATGCCTTTTGGCGTCTTCTGGTCCAACACCAGTGGAGACTAGGCTCTAAGAAAAGCCGTCTCGGGTGTGGACCAATCAACTTCAAGGACAGTGCATATCATTATCAGAGTTGTATCTTTTGTTTGCATTTTGACTGCTTGTGTTGTGGTTATTGCAAACATGATCCCTTGCATAAAGGTGTCAGTTTTTGTACCAGATAAAATGGTAAAAACCTATCACTAGAAACTGAGCTTGTTTGGGCACATATGCAGGTTGGAGGACAACGGGAAAATAAAAACTGTAATGATGGGAACAATAAAGGGAACTGCAAGAAGAGGAAGAGCCTGTGAAGAATGGCTGGCTGAGATGAAAGATTGGTGCCAGAGAGATGCGCATAGCCTCAGCGTGTTGGCACAGGGTAGAGGTTAAGTGGAAACAGGTGACACAAATTGCAGTGGGCACCTACGTTCAATTCTGCCCATGGAGTTTGATTGATTGACATTCAGAAGTTAATCTACACAATCCGGCGCTTGGTATTGTCATAAGAGCCGTGTATAGTGATTACCTGGCCACCTTAATGACGACCTACGCTCCCAAGTTCAGACGCAAGCGGTTCGTGAGATCAAGTCACCCGTGGGAGAGCGAGTAGCTTGCCGTCGGAAGGTTTAGGATAGGGGTTCGATCCCGATTCTGACGCCTGTGGTCGCGTGGATTTTTCTCCGGGTCCTCCAGTTTTTCCCTCCACATTTAAAATACTGCTATAAACGTACACATGATACGCCACTCTGTTGAGCTATCATTTGTGGCCAGGTCACTTCTGAAAAGGAGCTACGGTGTTCAGCTCAGTGGACCTTACCACCGAGCTAAAAGGTAGTGTCAAGCAAAATCCCCGAACGAACACAAATGCACGCGGATACGCAGCGGGGAGTGATTGCCTCCTCACTCACCCCTGCATACGCCAGAGGCGTGGACATGTGGCCTGAGGGAACCGTAACTGTGTTTGTGGGGTTGTGCTGCGTGGTGAGAGGGACCCCCCGCATCTAAGAGGTTGAGAACCCCTCGTGTCGACGTTGGGTAGACGAGGCAGAGTTATACGAGAGAACGATGGTAGGATATACACGCGCACGCAGCACACAAACATACGTCATGCATCGCACACGCGTCACGCTCATGTTCAGGCTGTGGTGGTAGTGGTGGTGGTGGCAGTAGTGGTGGTGGCCACGTTGCTCGTGGCTGCTGTGACCCAGCGCTGTGGAGGCAGCAGCGAGGGTTGGTGGATCACACACAGATGGGCTGTGAAACTCCCTTCCCGTGGGCGGCACAGCGAGTGGACTAATCGCCATCTGTTTTCATCTGTACGAGGGATAGAGTGTTGCCCCCTCGCGCAAGGCGTGGGATTCTTCCTCCGGGTACTCCTGTTTCCTCCTCCCCACTTGAAATAAAAACCCAATGTGGCAGGGTCCTCCCGAGAACAAGTCCTTGGACTCAGTGTGGCATTCCTGGATAGATACGCAATTTATTATTATCAACATTACATGTCAAAAATACAACCCATGGGATTTGGAATCGTGCTGATATTTGGATAAAAAAATAATGTTTTACTTCACGAGCTTCTGGGAGCACGAGGCTCTGGCTTTGCTTGCTTCTGTCCAGCACAACACGGGAGTGCACAGATGCCAGGCATCCAGTCTGCATTAACCGCGCATACTTGTGGCAAAACATGTTCGCCTTTTGGCAATGTTCTCTGGTCTAACATTGGGGAGACAAGGCCATAGAGAAGGCTGTCACTGGTGTAGGCAAATCAAGTTTCAAAGACGGCGCATATATTATCAGAGCATGTTTGTTTGCATGTTTTGCCACAAGTATTGTGTGTGGTTATTGCAGACTTAATGCCTTGCAAAATGTATCTATTTGGCGTT